TGTATTGTATGCTGATTCCCGCTAATGTATGCAAATATATGAATTGAGTGGAATTTCACGGTCAAAATGCCAAAATGAAAGCTCGCGATGTCTGCGGTAAGGGGTCTTCCGATGGATTACTGCAGAAGAAAGTATTGTCATTGCAGTTTGGAAAAGTTTTTTCGCTCGTTGATGGGTGTTCCCTAACGCTTATTCTTGCCATGTTGATATCACCTGAATCTGGGATTTTCCTTGAGCGAAAGTAATCCGTGTAATTGTTTAGGAATAATACTCTCGAGGAGATCAACGATATGTTGCGAGAGGAGAACGATGCTGCGCTAGCGGTAAATGACAATCTCAGACATGATGTGATGGAACTCACCCGAGCCCTCGAGAACCTGGAGCAAGGCCAACGCAATGATCGGGAACGCTTCCGGATAGAAAACGCGGTAGGGATATTCTCAGCTTGAATGACTGTTCATGTTCGGTTTTCTGTAAGCGTTACATAACAAAATTCGTTGTCCCCCTTCAATTCTTTATTAGAGTGAAGGGCTCTTCTAAACTACATTTTGGGGTCTTCTTTACCAGAATCTGACAAACTCCGAAATGGGTAAAAATGTTTCATTTGAAAAAAAAGTCCCCATCAAATGCTTTCGCCTTCCTACTTCATTGTTCACAATTATTCTGTTCCAGTCACTAAGTTTTCTGTTTATTGGAAAATTTTGAAAGCAGCCTTAAAGGCAGTTGGCACGATGGTTTCCTACTTAGCCTAAAATGCTAGTGGGGAAATGGCGAAAGAACGGAGTGAAACGGTCAAAATCCTGCGAAGAAAAAGCCTCCGTTCTCAGTGACTTGTAAATCGATTTCGGACGAGTTTCCCGTAGGCATCTTGCCAATAACCGCTACCGAAGATACGGCTGCATATGTGTACTCATATATCCATGCAGCATCACGGCCGCTTCATACCAATCCCTTCGCTTCATAATTTGCTTAGCAAATGAATGAATACGAGCGTCAGGAACGGTCGTCCATTTGTGGGCGGGCGGGCGTGGCGGGCGTTTGGGACGTAAAGTTGTGGCTTGATAGGGCCCTTATAAGGGCACCTTCCTCGGGAAACCGCTATGCAGCGCCTGCCCAGGGTCGCGGAATTCTATCCTGCCAGGAGTATTGATCCTAGTCGTCTTGGGGGATTTATCGTGCCAACTGCCTTTAAAATTGTTCGGTTATGGTAAACTTACAGTCGTTACGAGCGCGGTTGCTTTACTGCGGAATGACCACAATTGTGAGTGTTTATCTTACCTTATTTTTGGAATTATTCCAACCTTCCATCAAGCTTCGTCGTTTGGAATAGCTGGACTTCCTAAGAAAGACTTTTTAGCTATTTCGAAGTTTTGAACCAGACGTCAAAGGGTTAATCGCCCCACGAGTTCACTCTATATCCTGGAGAAAGGCGTTCTGACTTGTAGGCATCGCACATGTCTGTGAACTGCCTAGCAGAGACGAGCAAAAGGTTCTTGGAGTTTTTCTCGTGCCCTCTCCTATGCGCATGTTTCCTGCGTCCCTGTCTGAACCGGCAGTTGTTTAGTGCCCCTACGCACAAATTAATTCTTGATCACGCCATCCATATTATGGGACAGGGGGTTCATAGACTCCATGCCGTTTTCCTCAAATTACCCCAAAGAGGTTTGATTTGCCTTGGACTGCGTAGTCAACCCATGAAGCCTGAAGCCTGGGCACAAGAGTTTCTTTTTTTGCCCAGATTCCCTCATTAGAGGGAAACTGCAAAGCTTCTCTTCATTCAGCCTAATCAGTCATAACCTGTGAATAGAACGGATTAGTTCCCCATCCACAGCTCTTTTGAAGAGCGCCCTTCCAAAGGTACACTTCAGGACATCGGAAGCGCGAGACAACTAGCTATGAACATTTGGTCGCTCGCGCACGATGTCGCTGCTACGGTGTCCTGACCCACTCTTCCTTCCCGCTTTCAGTGGGCAGCACACAATTAAACTTTAGTAAAAGGCGACCTGTTTCAAGCTTCACAATATGGTAATATATGTTAAAGGCTGTTGGCACAATATTTTGATACTTAGCCTAAAATGCTAGCAGGGCGCCATATAGTGGGGAATGGCATACATTATAAGGCAACTTGTTTCCAAGCTTCAGCAATAATGTTAATATATTTAAAGCTTGTTTGCACTATATTTTGATAGCTTAGCCTAAAATGCTAGCAGGCCCATAAGTGGTGAGTCAAAAAACGAATGAAACGTCAAAAAACTTGCAAAGAAAGCCTTTCATTTTTAACATACTCGGAAAGTCAATTTACGGTACGATTCGCATAGACATCTGCCAATAACCGCTACGTTATTACGACTGCATGTATGTACATTCATTATATCCGCAGTCGCTACTATCAAACCTTTCCGCTTCATATTTTACTTTGCGCAATAAGCAATACTCATCTTTTAGTACTGGTTGTTCCCATTTTGTGTGCGGCGGGAAGTGGTACGCGTTCAGTCCGAATTTCTGTATCTTTGGCAGATCCTCTTATCAAGACGCACACGCTTGAAAAGCAACGCAGCGCCTGTCTCACGTCGCAGAATTCCGTCCTGCTAGGCGGTATCAGTTCTACTCTTCTTAATGACCGTGCCATCTGCCTTTAACAATGCAGTAGTATTCTGCCCTTCAATGCAATCTTAAATTTTTTTTACTGGAAATCATCGATGATCGACCGCATTCCTCATACATTAGAAATCTTACTCTTTGGTTCGATGGACTCGAAACCTGAATTTTCCTGGTGTCCCACTTAGTCATTCGAATGACTGCAGCATAAACGACCCACTATCTGCCTGATTCGTCCATTAAGCGGCCATCCTGATATGCCTAAAATAATGCGTGGACCGCTTGCACACTGAAAGGGGCTATGGTTCAATAGAGAGGCGTGACTGTACGTGACTTCGTACAGCTTCACCATTTTGCTAGAAAATGAATGCTTTTGATCAATTTTTGATTCTGATGAAAACCCTATGGGTGCAGCTGATGCATATTTTCACGTGATCACAATTTGTGAATTAATCTTGTTGCACTTGCCTCTTCTCCCTGATTATGCCTACTACTCGAATTACCACAATCTGCTGTAGAAAAATGATTGTGATCCAAAGCTCCAGTTGAAGTGTGGCTTCAACAGTGACTTCTCGACTGTGATCATTGAACCCTTTTCAGGAAATTTAAGTCTCTCAAGCAATAGCGCGTTCATGACTTGCGTCAGCGCTCTGGGTGTACGCGCAGCTTCCAAGCATACTGGTCAACACTCCAGCGCCTTTTGAGCGAACTAGGGAATATATGTATGATCCATGCTGTTTCGAGCGTTTGCTAGTAGGCTCAAGCGGCTTAGCGCCATATAAAACTACTTGCAGGGAATACTTGGACTTACAAAACATGAGCTTTTCTTTATTTACTATCAAGTTTTAAAGCTAATCGTATCTGCCACAGCGGAAAATCAGACATCGTTTGAACCCTAACTGGCCCTGTCCTACCCCCTTATCACGCGGAACTTTGATTCACTGCTTGTCCATACCTGGTTCTTCCTATCTCTATGTTCTCAATTTCTGAATCGTCAACTTCTGTGTCTATATCCAGTATTACTCATCCAGTTTCTAAGTACTGTCTATTTCTAGTATTACTACTACTAAAATTAAGGCAGAGTTGGTGTAGTGACAAGAGGCACGCTTACCACGCGCCCGGCCCGCTGGCCACATCCCGGGTCGGTTGGCTCTCGCTCAGACCAATCAAACCTTTCTAGCCACGAGCCGGTGAAGCTTACCGATCTTCTGGAGGGGTATGGAACCAGTGACTCTGTACAACGGCCTGGCTCTCCACATTCCTTGCATCTACTCACACCACATCATTAAGCCACTAACCACGCATTTTGCCCATAATCGCGCGAGGCCTGCATTTCTGAACGAAAGTGGAACGGGTGCCGCATCACGAAAAGGAATTGGATTCAATTATGAAATCTTACCCCTTATCCTTTGGAATTATATTGGAAAAGGCGGAGATGTGCGCAACGAATCATCAAAGCCATAGTCCTCTACGCGGAGTGCTGTTGACCTTCATTCTTCTGCCTGTTTTATTTAACAAAGTGCTTTGTTCTACAAATCGGGAGCAAAGGCCCATTTATCCCGTGACTGACAGAACAAAGAACAGTGTTGCACAAAAAAGCCATAGAAGAGTTCGGCGTCTCCACCTTTCTGAGCTAATATTAGTCGTGATTTCTGGAAACGAAAGTGGGCGTGAAGAGGATCGCAGCCAGACAGCAATTCCCACGAGTTGTTGGAGACCCAGAAGGCATCGTTGTGGAAAGCGCCTTGTCAGTACTGCCAATCCACAGCCTCGTCGATGGCCTTGTATTTTTCCGATAATGATTACAGTACCTTATGAACAGTGATGATGTAATACTTTTCAGGTCCTATCACGTTGATCACAGCACAGTCGCTTCTCCTTCGCCAATGTAAAAATGGCTTTCCAGAGCAGTTCAATTTATGCAAATCGCATCTCGCCATTCTTCTGTCTTTTGGCTAAAATAGAACTGCTCATTATTTCCCCTTTCACTTTTCTCTTTCCATTTCCATTCCATTCACTTTTTCGTCCGTTAGAAATAGTTCTCGCTCGTCCTACAGTCACAGGGAGATGACGGTGCCGCCCGTCATTATCTGCTCAGTCTCCGGAAGGGGTACGGGGGGGGGGTAACGGCTGATTGCTCTCGTGCTACACCGCTCCCTAACTATGTGGGAGTACTCTCGAAAGGCGTCCGGCCACTGCCACAACTCCCATTCGAAAATGATGTATATAAAAAATTTATGGGCATCATTGATTCCGCACGCTATTGTCACGTAACTATATTAGAAGCTGTTCTTATAAATATTCCTCATACGCTACTTAAACTATGGAGAGTTTACCACAGAGGGGAAAGATTATAGACATAGCCGGCGCTTGCCCGGTACATGTGAGATCGGTGGGGTCTGAAATTCCGTTGGTGATCTGACAATTTTGCCATAACTCGACATACTTGTGATAACCTTCGGCTGTCCTCCTCATCTTTCCATATCATCCATTTTGAATGGACTCAGGGCAAAATGATGCCAAGGACTTTTTCCGCTGCGATTTTCGCAAATTAATATTAGTAATCATTTTCTGCTGATATTTTTGTTCACATTCTCAACTAGTCTCATAGAAAGTATTGATGTTATATCCTTATTACTAAGGATTATGAAGTTTCTACATCTACTATTATGCTAGTTTATATTCATAAAAAGCAAAGGCAAGAGCAAGTCGCTTTAACCCTAAATCCATGATGTTCTATCTGCATGTCGCCAAGGTTCTCAACCTGTGTATAATCTTACAGAGTACCTGCAACAAGCAGAGCAGGGCAAGCATCTCAGCTGATCGAGCTGTGGAAGGCGTTCACTGCTGTGAAAAGAAAGGTGGGCTGCGTCAGATCCTGTTTACTTTGCAAAATCTCCTTACATTAGACTCATTCAAACATCTCTTTGAATTAAATCGTGAATTATTTGCCATTGGTTAAACTGTGTTGAAGTAATTTTTCAATGTGTCACTTTAGGACCGCACCGCAATTATTAGCTAGAGTCAGAGATCACCATGAGTAGGTTTGGTCGGGAGATCGGGGTACTAGGCGTCGATAGGAAGCGAGCGCTGCCTACCATCCTTATCCTATGCTGTCGTCAAAAGCGCGAAGGCGGATGGGCCCAGACGTGGTTCTCGCCTTCTGCCCTAGCGTTTACAAGCTTCTTTGGTGCGGCGACATCTGAAAGTCTGAACGCCCATGTATTAGGTTGCGGAAAGTTTGTCATATTTTTTGTAGACTACAAGCCTTTTCTTTTCCCTAGATGAGGCGTACGAAAATCAAAATTATAGCGGCGAATTTCATTCGGGAATCGGCTTGCGATTTCGAGCATTCATGTGGTGATGCATCGCTTCCACAGTGGCAGGCTGCACGACGCAATGTTATCGGACATCATCTCAATTGTGACTTGGCTCGAGTCGTGGAGGCCATATAACGGCTTATGTCCGAAGTTAAGTAGCATTCAGAATGAGCATGTCTGAGGTACACCGGTGCAGGGGGAGAGCCATCCAGCTCTTTGCATGAAGTTCGGCTCGAACTTTTTTGGACAGAGGGGGCTGCACCATCACGTTGAAGACGGACTGTGCGGACGAATTTTTCCCTCTGATCGACGATTCGCCTCAGCTCTCGTAGCTGCTTCCGATAGCACTGTCAAGGACGCAGCTTTTTCGTCAGCAGTTTATCAATCCCACAGCTCCCTCAGGCTAAGTTCACAGGTATACCCAAACCTCACTTCGTCATTCAAACTGTAGGCTGCGGCTCTGAAGCTTTAGCGTCGTGGAAGGTTGTCTAATAATCGTAGACATCGTCCTTATGCAGCTCCATTATTTCGGCATCAACAGCTGTCATGCTGGCGCCAGGGCGGTAGAAGAAAGAGTTTGAGGAAGCGCTTGGAGGGGTCAGGTGCAAAGGTTACGGATGAACATTCTTGTTCATAGCAACAAAAGTGAGAAGGCAGGAGTCAAGCAGTGATTACCCAATAGAAAGACCATTCTTTGATGTATAAGTGCTCACATTACCGGTTAACGCTCTTCAGGTAATTAGCAAATATTTTGGGTTCAAAAATATATGACAGAACTTTTCCCGCCAACCTAATACAAGACAAGCATAATATGTGCGGCTAGAGTTCCCACACTCTCTGTCAGTTTCTCCTATTATAGGATTTGAATGGATAAATTTCTTTATCTAGTAGTAAACCTTCGGGCAGAAGTGGACGGCAGCGGTTCGCCTTCATTGCATGGTTTGGAATGGAATCCCATCTCTCCTTACTACCTTTTCTGAATCCTTCTAACTGAATTTCCATCGAAATCTGCTCCCGATGGGTTCCGGCAGCCAGATTGCATCCTGTGATAGATTGATCGTTAACGCTCACGCTACGGCGCCGTTGCTAAGGGTTGTCGCGTCAAACGACGCACTAACTCAATCGCGTCGAAGCTTCAGACCCTTATGATTAGGGGTGAGTTCTTCCGTTGAAAATGAATTTCGTATTTGCCTAATTTGGGGCCGGCACTGTGTTAAAGGCACTGGCTTCGAAAGTAAGGTTCTGACCTTGGCACCTCTGTTGCTGGCTCCAACATTTTCACACCAAGCAGGTGTGATTTCGTGTTCAGGTGAAGAACCCCAACCAGGTGACAAATCCCTTAGCAAGGGATGGTTTGTTGGAAATCTGACCTAAATCGCAAGAAAGTTGGCAGTAAAGGATAAATAGTGCTAGTTGTTCATCCTCAAAAATCTATCTTTTCTTGAAGGCAAGCTCCACGAGCCAGCGAAACGTTCTTGGGTAGTGCGATTGAAGACAAAAGTCAGTTGCTAGTTGATGTGCCTGTGAGGAAAAGAAGAGGAACCGAAATTTTCCAAATAAGACACTACTTGTGCCGAGCGAGAGCAGTATCGCTGTGGATAAATCGCATGCATCGCAGGCAAGAGGCCAGACAAGCAGCGAGAGAGCATGCAAACGAGCAAGACAGCAAGTAAGACATCTATCAATGCTGGCGGAGTCACTTGAGCAAAGCTGTTCCTTACCGGCCTTACCTTTACGACGTGAAACCTATACAGGGTTGGTTGCCGTCCACATTACCTATCCCAGCGGAGTTTAGATAATTATAGATCATCGTGGGCTCTACTTTCAAAAGACTCCGAGTGTTTGAATTCCATCATGAATGTTGACTGCAGGTTCGGGAACTACACGCATCAACAGCCAGCGATTTGGACAAGCAGCTCACAGAATTCACCCGATGTGCGGCTATGATGAAGAAAGCGATTCGGCATGCTGAATTCAAGGTTTTTCAATCGCCGTTCCACCTAAGTTGTCGTGAATAGAAGACATGTTTGCAGAACAACGAGCTGAGGACAAAAATGGCTAAGGAGAAAGACGAGGTGTTAGAAGAAGTGATGGCGAAGTACGAGGCTCTGTCAGGCACACAGATTGAGGTGAGTCTTTTCCTAGTGTTCTCGAGTGTTTCACCGACTGTTGTTCTTGGATGGAGCGCCGCGCAAAATTCGACTGTACGCCTCAGTCAGTAGAAGAAGGTAGAAGGAGGAGGCCTTGTTTTGAGACTCCACATTTCACGTCACGTGGTGACTGAGGACCTTTTTAAAGGCAGAGGAGCGATTGATGGAGGCGGGCGGCTGTCGGCAGCGTCATTGGTGGAAGGGCTGAAGGAGAGCGTTCGACTGAATTGCCCAACGCTTTGGGGTGTGGGCAACTGCCTTTCACCAGTGATGCTAGCAACAACCACCCCTTCCCAGCAATCGTGCCCGCTGCCTTCGAGAACGGACCGTTGGAAGAGAACCAGCGCGCCTGACGATCGCGTAGGGATCATAGTCGTCAGCGTCGCGAAGCTTTACGCCTTTTCCTTTAATTTCTCCGGTCATCGATGAAATTGGCGACTTTCATTTCAGACGGACAAGCAGTTGTCGGAGAAGTCACGGGAGGTGCAACGATTACAGGACGAGTTTGAACAGAATCGAAGGACAAAAACGAAGAAATCGGGAAAAGTGCTTCTCTCGCATCTCTGCATGACCGAAATGAAGCTCGGCGTCTCCGCAAAGGCTTCGGATACTCGCAGTGAAAGCCATGTAGTATTGTATTGAGTTTTTGTAAATGCGGCGTTCGGAAAGGTGTAAAAAAAATGAAAACTTTAACTCGAGGAGCAGTCCACAATGACCACATAGGCGGAGCTGCCCACGCCCTTTCTAGTCGTTAAAGAATAGGCGTGACCAATAAACTGCTCAAGGTAGGCCTGACTCACCCCATGTGGCCAGGTGGACTCGTCAAAGCGCTGGCGGTCAGGGAGTATCCAGAAACTACACGCACAAACCGGAGTCTCATCCGAGAACAGTTTTAGAATAGTGATTGTCATTTCAGCGGTCACCCATACAGTGAACGACACAGTACGCCGGATTCGCTCAGCATTCTCATCGAAATCCGCCGAAGTTCGGGAGGCGAATTCACGGTGAGTTCCTCTTACCTGCGTAGTTCAAGGTGACGTATGTATAGCATTGTCCTGTGAACGATAGGGCGTGTGAAGGAGCGCCGATTGGAGCACTACTGAGGCAACCTTTTCCACCAATTGATGCCATCCTGAGTCCGCAGCCATTGGTGGAAAAATCAGCAAGCACTTTCTCGTTCGCAGATATATCTACTGTATAGGAGGGGGGTTGTCGCTTCTTACACGCCGCGCGCACTCCATTCCTTCAGAGGAAGTTTCCATTTCGCATTCTGATTAACCCGTCCTCTTACTGATTCATGCAGGCTTTTGCGAGCAGCTTTATTTCAGGGTAGGCAGGGCTTGAGATGAGCGCTGAACCGTGCTGAAGAAAGCAGCTCTGACCTCATGAAAAAGAGGAGAACAGCGCTGCAAGGACACTGAGAAAAGCGAAAGCAGAAACAACGCGAGAGTATGAACAGACTCAGTTTCACACAGATGGCGTATAAACAAAATCGCAAACAATTACTCTCAAGGGAACAGAAGCTGTCAAGAAATGGGCCCACGACATCCGGCGCCTCACGGATCGTCTACAGGCCGCTGAAGAGGAGAAGACCATGAAAGAAACCATGCTGAACACCATTCAGAACACTCTCGCAACCACTCACAGGTACTTTAGTTATTCACGTCGTTAGCTATGAGTCAAGAGCAGCACCGTTTTCAGAACGCATAAGGAATTCATCGAAAATCTTATGTCAAGCCATCGCGACGAATTGGCAGACAGAGACAAGAAGCACGAAAGTGACCTCGAGGAGAGAATCAGCGAGGTTTGGCTCTTTTTTGGATCTTTTGTAGGTTCTGCGTGACTTCAAAGGATTCTATTAGGTTGTTCGAAAAGTCCTGCGACACTTTGATTGAATTGTTCTAGAAAAAGACCAAAAATCATTTTGGATGTTTTTATCCCTGATTAGTGGAGACTGTCCTCTGGGGTTTCTGCACATGGGTATATCATGACTTTGAGGAAGTTTTCAAAGCTTAAAAGTCCCCCAGAGATCGAGGTACTTTTCGACCTGTCCCATATTATGAGTTCCTGTAGGGCCACTTCGCCGTAGTCAAGGAAGCTGACACCTACGTTGTCTTGGAGAAGATATCGCTTATGCCATGCAGGGGTATTGCATCCAGCGCTTTTAGCTGCGACTTATTTAAACACTCGTAGTTTGGCAATGGTTACAGGGGGGGTTGGGCCAAAAAAATTCATTTGGCTTCATTGGACTTTCGAGGGTATAAGTTACATTTTAAAATTCTAATCGCGACATCTCCACAAAGCCATATTCAAAGAGGCATATTGAATACTATTTATGACACTCCGCCACAGCCTTCTGGAGAGCGCCATCGAGAGATTCTGGCACGCAACCGCGATGTGGTGCCTGAGATCAGCGAGATAGTCGATTTCTCCGCCACCGTAGACCACCCTATTGAACTCCGCCCGAACCGGGTAATTGAGGGGATTCAGGTCAGGTGACCTACTTGGATATTCCATCTTCTTTAGGTACTCAGCCCCCTTCCATTCCAAGTAGGCGAGAGTTTCTCCAACGCCCTTCGATTCCATGGCACCCAATGCTGTAGCAGTACAAAGTTTCCAAGAAGGTACGGGCGACGACATGTGGAGAAGATATTCTTCTTGAGTTGGTCGATGTAACCGCCAGCGCTCAGCTTCAGCCCGGGGTCCACGAAGAAAATATTGGTCTTTCCATTCCAGGTGCGTCCGGTCCATACCATCAACCCGCGCCTTGGCGACTGCGTGAAGATGATGTCCTAGACCGTAGCGACGTTGTCGGAGCTGCTCGATGTTGGAGGTCTTCCAGATTGAGAGTACTGGTCTCCAGGTAGCTATCCATGGGTGACTCCATACCAGAAGTTTCGCAGCTGTTTGGAGGCGACGTGAATTCCAAAGGTGTTCTCCAGTCAGGCCGCGACTGGAGATGACTTCATATTTTGGCGTACATGAAGGCGATTGGCGGCAGCCTGCTCCAGCTTATAGAGGAAGATCTTGGGTATCTTCCACTCTGGTACTCATATCCACTTCCCCTGTCTGGGCTGCGAAAACTTCGTTGATATGTGGCTCGGCCGAAATGACTTTTTTTTGCCCCCCCCCTTGTACTAGTCGCCCATCAGCACAGAATGACGGCCTTTACTCAGGCTGCTTAGGCGCAGCTTGAAAGCGTAACACCCGACGAAGTTTGGCGAACCTCTCTAGGCTCCACCTGACTGACAACTGCCATGCTTCTCCGCAATCTCGGTTATCGGAAAAATTTTTGTGAAGGATGCCTCATGAGTTGGACCCGTCTGACAAGTCATACCGAATGACCGTGACTGAGTTTTCTTTTCCTTGTACACAGCGTAGGAACTTTTGTGAGATCTTGTGGTTGGTAGCGAGTGGTGGAGTCCTTGCGTACATCATGCACATGTCCCTCGCAGGATCTCTCAAATAGAGAAGTAGATTGCTTAGCCAAAAGCAGATGTGCATGGGATAAAGATTCAGTGTGTTATTGCGTGACTTCCAAGCGTTACACTGGAATGCTCTCGACCCTTCAGTTGCGAAGACCGCATGTGGGGATCAGGCTACGCCAAAAGATCATGCATTTCGATCAGAGAATGCGACCGTACTCAGGTTATTTAACAAAGTTAGCAGCCTTCTACTAATCTCAAACTCGCCGCCTGGTTACCTTGTAGATTGGATGCATGTCCTTTACTGACAGAAATTGTAGTTCGAAAAATTCTGGTTCAAAGTGTGTCTCTAAGAAGTGTCCTAATAGAATGTTCGGGTAAGGCGCGGCTGCGGCAGCGACCAGCAGCCTCCCGAGGGCTAGGGGAGTAGTATTGATCTAGCGACCAGCAGCGTCTACCAGCGTCCATCAGCGACTGGCAGCATCCAGGAGTGGAATAGGATGGTAGCAGACTGCGGGTAGAGAATATGAGGCATAGGAGGGTACCAGCTGTCTGCTACCCTCCTATCGCCCCATACTCTCCACTCCTAGACGCTGCTGGTCGCTGGTGGACGCTGGCAGACGCTAGATCGATATCTATACTTTCCTATTCGCTGAGGCTGACGGACGCTCGAAACGGTTCTGGTCGCTATTGCACACCAAGCCCATCGCGAGCTCTGCGTGCCCGCGAGAATATCCCTTGTTGCCGCTGCGTTGACCTCTTCACCGCCATCTATACCATGCCAGGAAAAAGAGACGTTGTAGTAATATGAAAAGTACAGTTTTGTCCGCTGATGGTAGGGCTTGTCAGGGAGTTGGGTTTGGCGCGACGCCAGCTAGTTTTCCACCAGTTCTGCTCGCTTGCCAGCAGAGACGGTTGGTGGAAAGGGGTTGGCGCCGCGCCAGCCCTTGGCACTTTCCAGCATGCGCAGCAAACAGGGCTGTAAAACTACCGCAGTATTCGCACTTCTGCTTCTTCTCGATACATCCGAATCTTCAGGAGCGCAATCGCCTCAATCGTATGCAGGCAGAAGTGGATCGAGGGCGTGCTGAAGCGGAAAACCTCCGTCAGCAGCTGCGAGATCTCAGAGCAGAGCACTCAGCAGCTCTGAAAACGTCAGATGAACGAGGTTAGAATTATAAAAATCAAATCGAAATTTCAATCAGCTCTGTTCATTTAGAAAGCACCATCACCCTCCTGGAGGAAAACTTGTCGAGTTTGAAAAGTCAGATGGAAATAGAGATGTCGAAGTTGGACGGCAAAGACCAGGAAATCGCTGAGCATACCATTCGATGTGATGAACTGGTGGTTAGGCAACAGCACTTGGAACGAGAACTTGAAGAACAACGCGCTTCCACGGCTGTAATGTATGACGAGAACAAAGCGCTTCAAGACCAAATCATGCAGTTACGCAGCGAAATCGATCAGCTCAACGACAAAATCGATTCTGCCAATCAACGCGAAGAAGGTAATCGAAATTTTTTTTGTTCATGGCGCGTTCATACTTCGCGATTTGAGCCACTGAAATGCGCAATTTGAAAAACTGCTAAATCACGATGGATCGCGCTCCACTGCTAATCTCTGGACCGCTGCAGCTGTTAATGCTATCGCATTCAGAATAGAACTTTCACCGATCATTTTGCACGATTGGCGTCAGGGCGCGTTCAGACTCGCTCGAGTCGTGAAGTATCCAATCTTGTCTACAATCCTCCTACATCTCTTCGGAAGGAACGTTGTTTCAGAGTTGAAATCGCACTTGGAAGAGACAAAGCAGTTGAACACCTCACAGGAGCAAAACATCCATAAACTGAAGGCTTCTGTGAGGGCGATGCAGGAGAAGTTG